GCCCACGGGATTCAGAGTTGGAAGAGGGCCTTAAAGAGAATATATGGTTCAACTTCCTTATCTTACAAGGAGCTAAAGCCCAGAGCAGTAAAGTAATGGAGCTAGTGCCCAACAGCTCTTCAGGGGCTAGATCATTGAACTGGAAATACAGTGCTTTTTTTTTTAAACCATATCATATAAAAATGAAACCAAGACTCATGAAAACTGGCATAATCTTTATAATCTTCTCAGCTTCCCAATAAGCTGTTAGGCTTAATTTATTGCACAATTTGTGCTTACTTCTACCTTTAGGTTTCTGCTTCAAGCTGGCAGAGGGGCTGGATCAGCCCTGCTACAGGAGGACAGGGAGGTGGGGAACTTTCACAGAACCCTAGCTCTTTATGGGACCCTGGAGGTCACTTGGTCCAAGCCCTTCATTTTATAAAGGGGAAAACTGAGGCCCATAGAAGATTAACGACTTGTATGTGGTCACACATCTGGCGCCAGTTATGAGAACCCTGATACCAGGCAAGAGGCATATATTAAGCCTTTGGTCTGCATGGTACTGAGCTCTTTCCATTTATTACATAGGGCTTCCTGGTAAAGGGATGCCATTTTGCCATTTTCTATCTCCTCTGTCCTCCAAAGGTCTCATTCAGAGTAGTATCACAGGTAAGACACTTGGGGAAGTGGAGAAGAACAGGGTAGGTAGCAGAGGTTGATTCTTCTCAACTGTAACTACCAGGGAGCTAGGAATCACTTCTACATCCTCATCAAATATGCACAAAGAGGGTTGAATAGCACATATGGACAAAGATGGTACTCATTCCCTATAAGAACACCACAGCATAGCTCATACTTTATCCTGCATCAAGCCAGCCAACACTTATTTTGGAAGGGGTGGGTAGGAGGGGAGAGTCTAAAGGAAAAGGAAAAACTATCATAAAACTGGGTGGTTTGAATGATTTAGCGACCAAGAGAGCAGATTGTTGGTGTGGTTGCTGGCTTCCCAAGAAGCTACTCTGCCCTTGAGCGCAGCCTAGATTAGATGTCAGAAGGCCAAGGGCAAGGATATGTTTTAGCCCAAAGCTGACCAATTCAAA